CTTAGGTTGGGTTGAATTGATCGGGTTGGTCGGGTTTTTGAGCATCCCTAGCTTCAAGAGCTTCCCTATCTCATTCTTAAAAAAAGAGAATCATGGAAAAAACTCGAAATATAGAAAATTCTCTAAAAAAATCCAAAGAAAAGAGAGAAAACTGAGTTTTTTTATTCATTCCACCAATGAGGGTTGAATTAATATAATTGTATATGTATTTAAAAAATGTGTATTGGGATCATAAAATTATAGAATATTTGAATAATATAAATATATAATTAATGATTATGAAATAGAGAAGCTACTGAGTTGATTGTAATTTATTTTAGAGATTTTGATTTTTCGTTCTCTATTTTAGATAAATTATAAAGAAGCTATTGGAGATATTCTTATAGTATTTTTTTAAAGGTTTTTCAAAATTTAAGAACTTTATTTTCGTTTTCTTTTTTTAGAAGTAGATATAATATAAAACCAGAAAAGAAATATGTATATTTTATAAGACGTAAAAACTAAGGGGTTGTTTAGCAGTTACTTAATGGTGTGGTGCAGAATTATTAAGTGGTCAGAATGATTAAGATGCTCTCATGATATAAAACAAAATGAAATATAATTGTTTGATAATTATTTACAATGAAATTAGGGCACTGAATGGTTAAGGAAGACCCAAGATACAAAATTATTCAAAGAGTTTTAAAATCATTAAGAGACAATTTTTTTTTGTCAAACAAGATTCATCTCTTAACGATTCAGATGTTACCTCTCAATGGAACTATTATTTAATTAGTTATTTTTCATATTAAATCAGGTTTAATTTATAATTTTATACGTTTTCAATTAATTATATTTATTAAGATAATTAAATTATTATACTAAATAGATAATTAATACTCTTGTCTTTATATATATAAAGTATTAAAGAAATATACCCTATATAAAATATTAATCATAATTAATAAACTCTATTCATATTCCATAAATATTCAAATCATAATAAATGAACTCCAATCATTTCTATAAATATCTCAATTAATTGGGTTGCAAAGGTTGTACAAATGCACAAGGTTGTACAAATGCACAAGGTTGTAAAAGAAATATACCATATATATATATATATATATATTATATATTAATATATATATATATATAATACATACTTTATTAATATCTTTAAATAGATAATTTATGCAAAACTGAATATATAATTAAATAACAATGTTTTTTTAATATAAACAAATATATATTTGTATAAATTTCAGTTATACATAAATATATAAATAATACAAAATAAAATTGATGAAAATCTTGAATTTTCTTTTATAAGCTTTAATAAATGTTGAGTTAGACAAAATTAATTAAATAATTTATTTATTTATCTCTTAATCATTTTTTCTTAATATTTCAAAAACAACATTAGTTCCGTAAGGGTGCGTTTGGTACGCAGACAGGACATGACGGGACAGGACGGGACAGGACAGAACAGGACAGGACAGGACAGCTGTTCAACGTTTGGTAAGACATGATAGGACTGGACAGAACTGGTTAAATTGACTAATTTACCCCAATGAGTCAATCCCAGAATTCTAACCACCATGATCAAATTAGTCTACCATACTCCTAAACCCACTTGAGAAACGACATCGGATTCTAAACCCTAAAATCTTCAACTTCAATCAATTTTACAGTCACTGACAATTTCGATTAAAACCCTAAAATGAAATCGAAGGAGATCTGATGAACAATCTTACAAAAGTAGTTCTTATTGCTGCAGATTACCAAAATGAGCTTGTTGTCTGGGTTTGTAAATGCAATCGTCACAAAAACAGCAAACATATGCAATCGATACAAAAACAGCAAACAAAGTGCAATCGATAGAAACAACAAACAGATGCAATCGATACAAAAGGGGAATGATTMTGTCCAGCAATCGACGCCTTTGTGAAGGGGAACGATTGAAACCAGCAATCGATGCAATCGATGCCTTTGAAATCGATAGAAACAGCAATCGATGCAATCGATGCCTTTGAAATCGATAGAAACAGCAATCGATGCAATCGATGCCTTTGTGAAGGGGAACGAAGGGTGTTTTGATTGAAATCGATACCGCCGATTGAAATCGATTGAAATCGATGCGGCCGATTGAAATCGATACGGCCGATTGAAATCGATACCGCCAATTGAAGTATGCGGTGGAAGCGAAGAAGGGTTTTGAGAGGGTAGATAGGTAAAATATTTCCTGTTCTAGTTAGTTCCAGGGGGGTAAGGGTGGACAGGCTTGTCCCACCCGTGTTCTAGCTAGTTCTAGTGAGTCCCACATAAGGCCACACCAAACATAGGACAATTGTGTTCTGTCCTGTCCTGTCCCACCATGTCCAACGTACCAAACGCACCCTAAGGGTGCGTTTGGTGCGTGAAACAGGGTGGGACAGGACAGGACATGACACACTTGTCCCATGTTTGGTGTCATGTCCTGTCCTGTCTGCGCACCAAACGCACCCTAAGTGACACATCCTCAATTTACGAAGGGGTTAAAGTGTAAAAAGATCAGGAATCAAATCTGTAAATTAGTCCCAAGATGGAGGTGCCACGCCCGTCTTTATATAATTTACAGATTTGGTCGCTGCATTTGCGAATCTCGTTTAGAAAAAAATTACATTTTAATCATTTTATTTAAAAAGATAAATGACTAAATGGTCGTTTATCAAACACTTATCCGGTAAACGTTTATCGGTAAAATTCAACACTTTCACTTTCTTACCCAGTAAGATTTTAGTTCACCAAAACAGCATTAGATGCAACAATTTACATGGTAAGTGCTAACCGTAGTAAGAATTGTCGTCCTCACTTACTGGATAAGACTCTTGGTCCTTGTCTCGGCTCTTACCGAGTAAGATTTTTGGTCCTTCCCATATTTATCCGGTAAAGTAATGTGAATTGGTAAGCACTCTTGGATAAACGTTTGGTAAACGACTGAAATAAATCCAAAAGCTTGAAAATGAATATTCGCAGCATTTGACTTGGTCAAAAAAAATGTGAATTGTATTCAACTCAATCGTATTGTGGCCACGGATTCCACACAATCAAATTGGAAAACCTTTTTTTTAGTCAAACAACAAAATAAAACGATTAAAAAACTTCCCTAAAGGTACTTTTGCTTTAATTGGAATTCTTTTCCTTATATTAATCATTGGGTAATAATTTTTAACAAATGAATTCAATAATTTTAAATATTTAGATAAAGAATATGATAATGTTGTAAGTGTTTTCTTCCTATCAAATGGAATTTAGCTTAATGGTATCGTAGTCTTTGATCTCTTAAGAGGTCAGAGGTTTTCAAACCTTGCCAAAGATGAGGAAGATGTCTAAGTTTATTTGTTATATTTGTCGTATATAAATATTATATACTTAAAAAAAGTGTTTTCTTGATCTTTTACACATTTATATATAAATAGAAGGTTACATATGCAATGCAGCGAAATATATATCTCGATTTCAATGTTTCATTTTATTTTTTTGGTCTATGTCAATGTTATAATACGATTTTATGTGGTTTTGAAAAAGTAATAATGTTTTTTAATAAAATATAAATTTGAAGATATCATAAAAATTAAAAAATATATAAAAGTTTTCATTTTTTTTGTAATTTCTTTAATTCAATTTTTTTATTATAGTTTAATTTAGGTTTAATGACGAAGCAATTTATTTTTGGTCTAATAATGTAATTTTTATGAAGATAATAACAAAGTATTATGTTAGAACTCAATAATTATCTTAATTATATTTTAGATTTTATATTTAAGATAAGAATTTTATTTTGTATTTGATTATATTTAACTATAGTTAGTTACACGAATTCAAACATAAAGCTTAATAAATTATACTTACGGACAATTTACTTGTAATCTTGAATTTTAAGTAATATGTATCAATAAGCAGTACTTTTATACATGAGTTTTAAGAGTTTTTCTCAAATACTTTATAATATAGTATAGATTATAAAAAACATAAAGGTTTTGTAAATACAATATTAGGAGAGAAGTTTTACAACTAAAATAATCTTGTGAAAAATAAAAAGCAAAGCACAGCCATCGTAAATAAATGTTGTGTTTTTTTAACTTTTAACTTTTTTTATTAACCTAGATATTCAATCCGCTATGCGAGCCGACTAATCTCAGGGCAATCACTTGCTTTGCAGATAATCCGGAGTCACCGCATTTAAACCTCCACGATCACAAGGGAATTTTTAATTTTTATTTCTTTTTGCATTGAAATTTTATGGTTTTGTATTTGGGATTATTGGCATAAACTCTTAAAAATTTAATTAACATTAACACGTATAATAAAAGATGTAAAATTTATAACAATGAAAAATTAATAAAATATTCCTTTATGTCAATATTCTTTCCTATATGACCCTCTTATCAATGTATAAGATACCGTCATCTCTCTTATCAACATTCTTTCCTATATGACCCTTTCTAGATATAAATTAGTGTTTTGTAATACATTTTTAGAGGCATATTTGTAAAATTAATTAGAAATGTTGAAATCCCTTGCAACGCAATATGTGGCATATTCATAAGGAATGTAAAACATGTTATTTTTCTCATGAATGTTGTAACATATTCATCGTGAATATATGATTCATGATGAATAATGCGTTAATGAATGTGTAATTATTAATACTTCTATATTTAGCATGAATGTATTATTCATGATAAATATTCATTTTGAAGAACATACAACATGCTACAACTATGAACAATTCTCGGATTTCTAATCAATTTTGGGTTCTTCACAGAAATTCCATCTACCTTTTTATTTTGACATTTATTATACAATGTGTTTTATTCTCAGTTGTTTCATTGTGACAAAAAAACAGACAATATAATCAAGCTGAAAAACTAATTGTTAGGTTAAAATCTAACAGATTAGTTAATAAACTAGCTGATAAAAATATCTAAAGGAAACAGAAAAGGTCTCTAACCTTGTTGTAACATCATTTGAAGTAGTTTTTCAAGAACCGACTAACCAAATGAGATACTTTCGGTAACTCAAAAAATGATGCAGCTTATGGTTGTCAAACATGACGCTAAAAAGTCTCTCCCCACCTACTTCATTCAGACAGGATATATAAGCTACACTCTAGGCTAACTTGTGTGTTTTATGGTCACTTGTACACATTATGAATGAATAAAATGCCGAATGCGAAAATTGATATCTTGAGCGGTTTTATGAAAACATATGGAGCATCTAACTCCATCTAAATGAACCTCCTTGCACTTCCTGAAACCTCTTTTTTAACAATCTAAAGCTGCTGTTACCTTTCTCGCCCCATCGGGCTGATGCACTTTTTAAAAACTCGGCTCCAATCGGTGATTTTGGAGTTGGCTCGAACGATGGTGTATCAATATAATCTGCATATACAAGATAAATGAGAAAAATGCCAAAATTCCCCGGCCTATTTCAAAGATAAAGTTCAAACAACACCTAGGGCGTTTACCAAATGCTTACCGGGAAAGTATTTACTGGGTGCTACTTACCTTACTGGGTGAGCATGACAAGAATCGAGAATCTTACTAAGTAAGCGAGGAAAAAAGCTCTTACCAGTTAAATCTTACTAACAATCCATTTTGATGACCTAGAATGTTATCCGATATGGATAGATGATAAGTGAGGGTGGTGACGTTTTTTGGCGTTTGGTAAACTCCCCCTGAATAAAGTTTGTCATTTACATTTTTGGCTTCTTTCCATGCCCAAATAAGTTTACTTAATTTGGCCCTTGTGGCTTCTTTCAATCAATCAATCCACCTAATTGTCGTACTTTCTACCAAAAATTGCTTGACTCGATACAGGGGCCAAGAAAAAAAATTGCCTCCCCTACACTCTACATAGGATTTACAAATTTATGGTTCATGTCATCCCATAGGGCCTGTTCGGTACATGGGACAAGATAATACAAAAACTTGTACCAAGTTCGACACGACATTAGTCTAGGACTATCTCAGGAGCTGAGGGACACAAAAATGCGGTTTTCTGGTCCCACCAAAATAGGCGGAACAAAAATCAGGAAGACAAAACAAGATTGGTAAATTATTAAACTTACCCATGTCAAATTACAACCCTAAAACCTTCAACAATTCTTTCACCCGCCCACCTTACTCTCGCATGTCCAATCCAGTCCAATCTCGTCTCAAAACAAACACACCCTTACATTTATACCTTTTTTTGCTTTCACCACAAGAACATGAATATTACCGTGAAAAAAAATAGTGAAAATCCGCAGCTAGGAATCCGAAAAAGTTAACACCCTATAGCACTCTATTGATTTCAGATGCAATTAGCTAAAACTTAGACACGGCAAAGTTTTTTGGATAGCAACAAGTATAAAGTTCATGGAACTCAAGTTATGAAACAGAGCAAGTACCTGAAGATGCAGGCAAGTGATATTGCAATTTTAAGAACTTCGAGGCTTCTCTATCCTTCTTATGGCATAAAACCCGTATTAAGGTGTTAGCATCATCCAAGGATCTCTGTCCACTAATTCTCAATTCAAATCCTGTCGACAAGTATTCGCTTGCCATCATCAACATATGGATCACTGATTCAGCCTGTCACAACAGGCAAACAAAGAAAGAGTTCATGTCACTATCATAACCAGACAAATAATTCGAGAAAAACAAACTTCGGATGAAGGATGTGCATACATCTAGAGAGAAAAGGCTCAAAATTTGATGGGCAAGTTTTGATTCCACCTCGACTAGTGAACGTGGAAGACCTTCTCCATCAGCAACAAAAAGATCCTGAATCCAAAAGCAGCATTATTCATGTACACATAGATGAATCTTTTTTTTCAATCTGAGAAATCAAGTTCACCAAACTTGGGCAGAACATCCAAGTTTGTGCTACATCTAAACATTCTAAGGGGTTGTTTGGTTGGTTTTTCATCAAGTCTTGTATGGATAAAAATGTTTGTGTGGATTACTGTCTATAAAGATTGGAAAGATTTTTGTCTGGAAGGGTTTTTATGGATGGAAGAAGCATGTTCTGCAATTGGGAGGGGAAAGTTTGAAAAAAAAAACTTGGCTTTCTGCATCAAGCTCTATAAAAGCTTGAATAAGCCACTTTCTATATCATTAAGCCACTACCAAACAGTCATGTATAGCTGACCGAATTAGCTGTGAATCTCATTAAGCTGCTAACAAACAGACCCTAACTTTGACAACAAGCAAAGGTGGTGTTGGTTTAAGTTTATCGATTATCTTCATTTTCCCTTTTCATCTTTTTATCACATTTAATCTTACCACTCTCTTCTGTGGTTCACTCAATTTTGTATTACTTTATTATTGGTTGCAAACCCATGATTACACCAAATGTTATCTGGCCCCAACACGTAGTTCAACTGTTAAATCATATGTCCTTAATAAAGTGACTAGTTTAGCCCCTAAAACCATTCATGGTGAAAAGGTTATGGTATGAGAGACCCATGGTTAAAGCACTCAATCTGCTAAGTTCCAACAGTGCAATCCACATCTTTTTTTCAAATTAACATGCACATAAAAAAACATTTTTGAGCTTTATGTACCCTCTGGCTCTCTAGCAGGGGTTGTCTCATTAACACAAAAGTTACTACCAAAAGCACCACAAACTGAATAATAGTAGTCCTAAAACATTCTATTGTTTTTACTAATTTATTTCTAACATTTTTCTTGGTCTGATACAGAAAATGCAAAAAACTGAACGAACTGATACAGTCGGGGAAGCAAATTAGCTAAAATACAGAGTTGAGATTTACGAGAATGCATAGATCTAACATTTTTGTGTGTTCTTTCTCTATCCTAAACCTGTTTAATTTTCAAGAGTGAATATCAGCTTTGTACCTTTAACATATTAAGGTCATCTTCCATCATGGTGATATCTGAATCAGAAAATGCACAGGAAGGTCCTCCATCCAGCAGTACCCATACATAGCCTTCCTATATCATGAAAATTATTATATCAGAATTTGGAAAAAGACTTTCATAACAGCTCATGAAAGAACGATCATACCAGCGCCGCCCTACAAATACTAGCCACCACCATGTCTCTAAGTGCGTCATCAATTAGACCACATACATGGTTGAGGATCTGCAAATGCCAATCAGATTAAATATGTTCTGAAGAGAAATCTGGAAACTGTGAAGTTATAATTTTATAGAAGCCCAAAGAAACGAGCACAAGCATGCACCACACAGAGATGGTTTTTATATACACACATAAAATAAGACATACACATACTTAAGTTTATACATGTATAGCCATATATGCATGCATACATACATGTATATCTAAACTGTCTTATAATGCATTTAAGTGAATTCTTAAATTTCTAGAATACAACATCCATGAAGCATCAAGTATAAATCAGTACTGCAAGATTTACAATCAGAGAAACCGGACAATTAAGTGACATGATATATATAAACCACTAAGAGTTATAAAGAGTAGGTGCATGAGTTTTGGAAAACCACATCTCATTACTGATTCCTTTCCAAAATGATTTAGCATATCTAGCTATTTATGTACAAATGTGTATGATTATAGATGCTTGTAGTTTCTATTTTTTGTTCAAACATAAATTTCAGATATTGGTTTATAATTTTACTTTTCCAATATTGGTTTACAATATAATTTTACAATTCGCCGCATCGCACATGTACACATCTTATGATATATATGTATGTGTGTGTGTGTGCAAACATATATATATATATATATATATAGAGAGAGAGAGAGAGAGAGACTTACACTATCAAGTTGTGGAAGCAAATTTTCCAATCGAGCTCCTTCAACAGTACCATGATATAGACGGAAAAGAAATGAATCTCTCAAATCCCAGAAGATAATTTTGGTTCCTACAAGTTCAGCAAACAGAACTTCATGTGGGACTTGCCAGTTACAAAATCTAGAAACTCCATCCTTGGAGATGATATTTATAAGAAAAAGATAAAGAAATCAGCAGCAGGAGGAGAAAAGAAGTATTCTTTCAGCCGAGCACAAGAACTTGAATTACCTAGCTGTCCTAATTTATAGGTTCATTTAATATAGATAGATAATACACGCACTTCCTAATTTACCACTAGCAATTGATCATCATCAGCAGATCATGCCACCACTACCAAGAGTCTCGGTCAACTATACCAAGTAAAAGTAGGATGTAATTGTCCACAGAAGTCAAAATTTTGTAAATCGGTCTATTATCTGCTAAGAATGGGGTGGGTAAGATAGAGACAAATTGAAGGCATAAACTTTTCATTTCAGATGTTATGACTCCTCTAGAGCAGATGAGGACAGTAATGGAAGGTTTACGAGTCCTCTCTTCTTTCTAAAATCTTTAAATTTTTCATTCTTATTAAGAATTTTTAAGATCTTGGAGCACGGATAATGAAGGGCAAGTCAAACTTAAGATTAAGCAGAAATCTCAATATGCAGATTGGTGGTCATGGTGTAAACAAAATAACAGGCTTGGATCCATCAACTGGTCTGAGTTTTTTATTATCAACCTTGCAATTTCTGTGCTCATATTGAAACAGACCCTACTCTAAAGACCAGAACCAATTGGAGCCGAAACGCACCAAAATACATGAGATCTATTTGCAAATGGGAAGTTAGTCAGCAGTCTTTTAATATACTAAGAACCAAAACACATGTAAGGCACATGTCCACAAGTCGTAGGATGTGTTTGCGCTCATCAACTCACCAACTAAGTCACAGATTTTTCTGATAGCATCAGCTACGGAATCCCTGATGCTGTCAAAGGTTGCTACAAATAGTTCATCAACTGATTCACTATCTGTGAGTATAAAATCTGTAGTTCCTGGAGGTTCTTTACCTGCATAGAACAGAGTATTGTTGGTTATGAATATTGACATTATAGGAACCTTACCTTAATGATCCAAAATTAAATATATAAAGAACATATTCTAGAGAAGTACGGAAGGTTGGTGGGATAAGTATCACTCATTCATCTAAATAACAAGTAACTTATCACATGCCTTGAGGGAGGTAAGTATGGAAAGAAAAAGAATAGGACAGGCAGTAACCCTTTCACATCCACATAGAAACAGAGCTTACAGTCTCTACTATTTCCAGGTCCCATAGATGCCCATGACTTTTTAATGCCGTCTTCCAGTATATTAATTTGCTTCTGCATATACTGCATAGGATAACAAAATCATACCATTAAACACGACATTCATGGATGCATGCAAAGGCACAATCTCCATTACATATCAGTACATAAAGCTCAGAATTAGAGGCCCAGACAGATAAACACATTAATGCCAGAAACCACAGCAGAACGACCTCGTGTGTTTTAGCCTGTGATGTGATATTATATGGTCGATTACATGCCAAAGAACTAAGTAAATATAAAGAACTACAGGAAACACCATAAAGATTCTAACTGGCTAAGTCAGAAATTTTTAATGTAAAATAAGATAGTAGCAAGTTATCTACAAGGGAAAGACTTCATCCCAATGTAGAACGGGGAAAATAGTTGTTCGAGTCAGATAAAGTTATCTTGATGAAAACAATACTTATGTGATGTTACAGACAAGACATTTCCATAGTGGTTTATATTCGATCAGAATTTCTTTCAAGCGTTCAGCTTTAACCACTGTTAGATGCTCTACCAAAAGTGCATATGCACAAATGTCTTGAACATAAAAGAGAACATTTAAAAGAAAATATGTTATCGCGTTTTTATCATATGACCATCCCCCTAGAAGATGAAACAGAGAACTGAAACAGATGCTGCATCACAACGAACTTAAAGACCGAATAGGTCTTCAACAATATCATTATAAATATAAAAGCAGCTTCTCAGCAATCAACATAAGGACTGACTTGTGCAGGTAGGGTGATCTTCCTTGTAACAAACTGAGATTAGTTTAAGAAGATTGGCACTCACTTGAAGAGTGTTTAATCTGACACAGAGCTTGTTGACTGTCAACCCTCTCAATTTTTCGTCCACTTCCTCATCAAGAAGTACACTCTCAACCACCTTTTTCTTGACTATTGGGAACATTGTCTCCTTGTAACGAGTCAAAGGAGGAGCAGCAGGATATAGATGGTGCTTCTCAACTGCGTTCATAAAATATAATTATAACTAGATTGACAACAAATCTATTTAAGTTTGAATCCGATAAGAACCTAAAAGATAAGAAAACCATCACAAATTTCATTCATCACCATCAAATAACAATTAACCTAGAAAATGAGCATATAGTGTTAATTCTGGAGTATGATGCTGTTTGACGTTTATTATCACGCTTGCAGGACTTCGTGGGTGCAAGTGCCTTGGCAGGGGTAAATGTAAAATTTTGGCAAACTTTATCCCTTTCTCCTATATTATTAATAAAATTATGTAGATACAGATTCGATGATTAAAAGCATAAGATGACGTCTGAAGATATTGTGACAGCCAAATGACAAATAGAGTGAAGACTAGAGTGCATTCCTAGTCAGTGCAGGCTAAAATTGTGAAATATAAAATAACTGTAATGAGGGGAACGTATCCTAATTTGGGAGTAATAGCCTCCCCCCCCCCCCCCCCCCCCCCCCTCCCCCCTCAATGCTCTCATATCTAAGACCAACTCCTGTAGCATACTCCAATGATTCATTAGGTTAAATCTCTACATTCACCACTAATCCCCATGTTAGCATTAATCAACCCCTACCTTCCATAATGGTCCTCTTAGTACAAGCCTCCACTCGATGCCTGCCATCTAAATCCAACCATAAAGATCACAAAATCCTCTTAAGCGGAATTTCCTTTTTTCTCAACAGACGCCACCCACGCCTCTCAAATTTCCTAATTTATCAAAATCTGCATTTATAGTCTTCTATAGCTTGTCAAAGACAAGATTATGGAGAGGCGAAGAAACAGGTGGCATCAGTAGGTGAAAAGATTAGCTATTGCTATGAAAAACAAACTCAATTTAGCCGGTGGGTGGGTTTATAGGGCCTTCCGTCCTTGTTAAGCAATCAGTTGAAATTTTCAATAGCATACTTGCACTAGTATTTTGCCAAGGACCAATGAGAACTGAGAAGCCACAATAGATAGAATATTAATAAATTGCATTCTAGTATATAGACGTTTGGTACCTAACTGGCTAACCAATTTTAGCAAATAGCCATCCAGGGCATGGAAATTTATTGAAAGTAATGCTTGCAAGTGTGAGATATCCATTGGAAGACTTAGCCTGAATAATTGATCCACTGTCTGCAAAGCAAAGATGACACAACCACAAGAAAATCAAAGTGATTGACAGTTGTAGAAGATATGAAGAACATGGTAGTACTGAAAACATAAATATCCAAAAGAAGCCAGTGCATTTGATTAACATGCTGAAGCAAATAAACAAAGGTCCGTGAGCTGAACACTACTGAACTTGGTTAGGTATCAGGTTATATTTGTATGTTTTAAATCTGAGCTCAAATAAAGTTCTCTTTGATTGACTCGTCCAATATAATTTTCATTTCCTGTTGAATTATATGCCATCAAAAAATATGTTTGCTGACTTTTGCCAGGATAACAATTTTGTGAAAGTCTCTTATTTGCATTATAATATTTACACAATTTACTCAACAGGTTCTACCTATAAATTTAAACACTTCTTTGTCTAACCAATCCAGGAAATGCTCGTTATATAAAAAAAGAATGCTAAAACTCACTCCCCTCCAGGCACATTTTTTTTTATTTTTCAAATATTGAACTTAAACGAGTGTAACGTCACCTCAGCTTGAGTCAGCGGCAGCTTTGCCTATTTGTTTTGTGAAGAACATTCTGTGGCTCAAAATGAAAATCTTCGTATTCTTTTGGTAATTGTCAAAAAATATACCCAGGCACACAAGATGACCAAGAGAGAAAATGGCCAAGATATTATAGCACAAGACAAATAGAGAGCATTTACATTGCTATATGCTTAGTTTCTTCCAAATAAGAAAAACATAGAAAACAGCAATAAGCATTTTCTGGAAAGTAGTTTCACAAATGGAACCTAAACTTCTGCAGCTCGTCCCTTAAAATCAACATCTGCAAAGAGATTAAAATATAGCTTAATCTGTCTGTGATTCTACATACCTCCTCTACAATCCTAAAAACTTCCACAACTGAAGCTGCTTGTTTCTGTTGATTTGATAGGGGTTCCCAGACCTGAAACATGATAAAAGTATAATCCATACCTGAAACATGATAAAAGTATAATCCATAGATATAATACTGACGTGGTGATAGAATATCTAATATGTGAGCATGCAGACTAAATGATTAGGTTAATTCATTTCTACAACTCTTTGCATGAGGTAACATGATCAAAAAATTAGAAATGAGAAAAACAAAATTTTGGCCATAAAATAACTGATGAACTTGCTCTTTTAGTTCCTCATTCCTGCCTCCTTAAGAAACTGACTACTCCACTAAATCCATTTGAAAGAACATATGCAATAACAGATGCTCAGAATCAACAAAGTAAACTCCAACCTCAAGGTGGAATGCACGTCCTGTCCATTCCAGCATGCGTTCATGCTGCGAGATTAGCCAATCAAGCACGATCGGTCGGCTTATTTTATGAATCTGCATGAATTTAGCATGCAAAAAAGAGACTGGTCATTAGATGATCTAAATAACAATCCTATGGTCTCTACATATTCTGCAAGAATTTAAGAAACATACTCCAGAGAAATTACTAATATTTGGTGTCTACATTTGAACAAGTTAACATCTTTGACTGCCAACATAATTCACTTAATTTCAGTAGTGAATTGAACTTGATGACATTTATGGATCAGCTTGCTCCTTGTTCATAATTTAGGTTCAGATGCTTCCGTTACCATACTTATTTGAACTCACAAAAGATTGAAAAGCAAACTTAACAGTATGCTGGTATTGCCAGAACCAGAACTTTCATCTGAGTGGAGTAAACTTACAACTAGTTACCTCAAAATAATAACAAATGTGGTACAAGCAAATGACAGAACTTGACCTATTCACATGTGCTCTATACCAATGTGGTACAAGGAAATGACAATGAATCGCAATAACAAAAACCAAACCAAACAACCCCAGTACATCCCACACACAGTAGTCAGGGGAGAGTAAAATATTAGCAGACTTCTCTATCCCAAAGGATAAAGAGACTATTTCCATGAAGACCCCTGGCTTGTGGAAAAATCTTTTTTTCGAAAAAGATGTTTGCAATTTTTTTGGAACATAAGCAACCCCAAAAGAAATGTCAAAAAAACAAGAGATGAAGTATGCATCCTAACAACACAATAGCTCCAAATTTTGATATAACACAAGGTATAGTAAATTGCAGAAAGCATCAGATACTCTTGTATTGAAAGAGAAATTGCAAAAAGATAACACCAATATCGAGCAATATGTTAAAACCAAGACAGAACCAGCCAGTTGAACCATTGTCTGGGCCAAAAGCCAAGCTGTATCTAGCCAAAAACCACTTCTAGCAATAAATGTTGAAAGAAAACAAAATCTGCCAATTGTTCCATTCGACACACAAACCCATACGGATTTTAACCGAGTTAGCAGTGTAAGTTTTGTACTTGACAGTTGTATTAGACAAGCCCAATAGTAAAATATATAAAAATAGTAGTCATGACGAATTCTTAACTTTGTGGCGACATGCGACAATCAAGAAGAAGCATTCCATCATCATTAGAATAGCTTTCACTCTAAATCAAATTCTTAAAAAGTACTATAAAAGTGTATGTGTGTGTTAGAGTATGAAATTAACCAAGTTACTACCTGTAATCCTTCACCAAGTTCCAAAATAATTCACCTAGCTTTGTATATCCAAAGGGTATTTCAGATTTTAATATTAACAAGAATGTTTTAAGTTATAATATTCTAAAAATTCTATTATTATAATATCTTGTTGCAGTTTAACGTGAAATATCATTTATAATCTACAATCACATGAATCTTACTAATTTATTAGTTCACAAAAGTCAACATGTTTGACACTTAGAAGTCAAAATTCTGAGTTTACTGGGATGAGTAGAGTAATTTTAGCAATATCTTTACTGATTGGTGCTAAATGAAATCTTAAACTAGTTTTCTACACACATTTTCAAATAACTAAATATGAAAAAACTCACAAAGTTACGCATAAAAACTACGAATTCTTAATTTAAATATTAGTATATGTATTAAGTAATATCCATGATGTCACAATTTAGTAAGGTTAAACCATCAAAACCACAGGTATTAAGGTGCTGCAATACACCAACCTGATAGAAATCAATTTCATTAATGGAAAATGACCCAACACCATTTTCTTCATCTTCAGAATTGGGAGATCGAATCAAGTCAAGCTCCAAGTGATGAGCTGCAGAAAGCACTGATATAGCATCTTCAGAAAGGGATATGTCATCTAGAAATGGCTTCTACAAAACAAGTATAACCAATTTATAAAGGCTGTAAGAACTTCATAAAAATAAAACTAGGACAATTTTTCAACTTAATCATAGAAAACAAACCAGTCTTTTTCCATAAAACTGGTGCAAATGTCGGGAGACAACCATCCCTGCATCTGGACACCATTGGCAAAGGACAGGCGAATACAGAGACCGTTCTCTTTCATTGATCATTCTTAGTTCACTTGCAAGCAAAGCCAATGGATGCTTCCCCTCTAGTTTAGATATGAGGTTTATGGCATCTTCTACCTGACAGTCATCAATACTTTGGAATCATTGAAAAAACAGCTATCAATTCAGTCTTTTATAAAAGCCATTTATCAGGGAACTAACCCGCTTGCATGCAGCTTCAACAGATCTTTCAACATACACCCTAACCCTAAATGCAGCAGTCTCCCCGATAGCATCAGAATTTATAAGCTGCAAATTTGAGAAAGCATGCATTTACATTAGCACTAAAATACAGTAAAGTTCCTTGCCTCAAACTCCAGTAAAAAGAAAATACTGCTGCACCAGATGTTCTTAAAAATTCCACTTAGGTTTAGAAATTAGTCACATCATATTCAGCTTTGAGAGAGGAAACAGTTGTCCCAAAATGCTAGCTAGTCATGCTTTCCTAAAAAACTCATGATGTAGAGATTTTTATAGCCTAGTGTCATTGAACAAATACTCGTATTAAGCCATACAGAAAAAATCAGGTAATTTGAATATGTGATCTTCCTTGAAGCTTCTGTTAGATCTTTTGGGTCCAAATGAAATCAAGAGCCTTTCCAGAAGCAAGTTAAGAGGAACAGCACAAAGAAAGGAGGACACAAATGCCCATTGTGATACCCTGGTGGGTGGGCCCTACACATTCTCATTGCCCAACTCTCTCCAGCTGCATCAAGAAAGCTTTTGGCATTCTCTTCTTATCATATCCTAGCACTTGCCACAAATGCCACTGCAATGACATTTGAGTTTGTTGTATTTTCAAGGTTCATTATGTATTGTACCCTTCAACTTCTATTAAAACAATTTAATACAATCAATTTCTTTTGCATAAACCAAACCAGTTAAAATATATACTGAGCTAATCGGACTACTAAGATGCCTAACAAATGAAGGCTCAATATGGTAGTACCGCTCTATAAGAGGAAAGGTGGCCTGCGAAGTTGTGGTAACTATTGCAGTATAAAGTTACTTAGCCACACCTTTAAATTAAGGGAGCCAGTAAATTGAGGCCAGGGTGCAGCACGGAACAGAAAGGACGAGAACCAATTTGGTTCAATGCCAGGACGATTAACAAACGAGACAAACATCTCCTCAGACGCCTCATGGAGAAGTATAGAGAGCGTAGTAGGGGCTTACACTTGGTATTTTTATAGACTTGGAGAAGGGCTGCGTTAGCGTACTGCTAGATGTGATTTGGAAGTCTGGGGAAGAGGAGGGGTATCATAAATGTATGTAAGGGGATTCAGAATATGTACAGGCAATCGATGACATGTCAAGACACAGTGGGTACGACGGAATATTTCCAAGCGGAGATAGAGCTACACCAAGTATCAGCACTAAGCCTATTCCTAATTGCTGTAATTCTAGATGAGATTCCCTGAGAATGTCCCAAGGTGTATGTTATTTGCGAACGACATTGTGTTGGTAGCAGAGTCGCACGTGAAGGTGAACAAGTTGGAGCAATGGAGGGTTGCAATGGAAACACATTGCCTACGTATTAACCACTCTAAAAGTTAAATGGATGATATTGAGTAAGTGTCGTATTTCTTTTGACAGGTCGAGCTATTTGGTGAAAAACACATCGTCAGTTGATTCCGATGGTAAGCTGAAGGCAAGGACAAATTGACACAGAAAAGCCCCTATCCAAGCTGCACAATCGTGCCATTTCGTCATGAAATCAATTTTCTAACCAATGATATGCATCAGTATTTCAGCAAATCTCCGTTGTAAGCCAACTGAGCGGACTTATTCCCTAACCTGGAAAAGAAAATCAAAAGACTTGGCAGATGGACCAACCTTGACTTTGTTGCCTGTACCAGAATTATCTGTTCCAACAGCCAAGCCCATGGAAACCAGCCTCTGGAAGAAAGACGATTTCTGAGGAGGGATTATAACCAAAAAGAGAACAATAATTAGATGCTAAAGCTAAAAACAACAAAAACAAAGTGCAAGTTTAAAGACAAAAAAGTTTAAAGGGAAAGCAACATAACACAGTCACAGCTCTAGTTTAGAGTGCGAGCAGAAAAGAAAATGAAAATAAAGAACTGGACATACGAGTGACCTATGAGAGTTAACTGCACATCGCAATTTGCAGGAATGGAGTTACAATTCAATGCAAACTACAAACATAGCATAGGTATGTAGGGAAGGGGAGAGCAAAGTAGTAGTAAATGCTTGCAGAAAGTATAACGGAAACAGAAAATGACCTCACTGAAATGTAGGTGATAATCTTGCAGTCTTCTGTCACACCACACATTTATTGATCGAAATATTGCTTGCACCAAGCTCAATCTGGTTTCAGTACCATTGTAGACAACCATACACATTAGGTTGTCCTTACAATGGTCCTCGTTTCCTTTGTCATAATTAGCAGACAAAACTTTCTGCACTTGAAGGTTCGCCTGATCAAGAAGTAGCATTTCTTCTGTCTCGATGAACTTCAAAGCAAACAAAAATATTAGAATTCGTAAGTTAAAGTACATAGTCAGCAATTGTATACGCATTGTTAGCATCAAATATTTCAATGAAAGTGATGATCCAACTTTGTGTAAAGTACATGCTCATATAGTCCGGAAATGGTATGTTATTCAGATCTGCCCCTATAATTCTAGCATAGACAATTATTTTTCACTTTGATGGGTGGAAAAGAAGAATGAACCGAAAGCTCTCTTCTCCATCTAGTAGGATCGAGAATTTGTGAAGTGAAACTGGGCTTTGATTTTATAAAGTCATGAGACTCGAGCCATTCTAAGCTTTTGTATGGGACATAGAGGGCTTGAAAAGCATAGAAATGTATCCTTATCTTAAAGGGCCAACACTTGATGCATATTAACAATAGAGACAACTGAATTAGTTTTCTCCACATGTCATATGCACACATGCATAACTTGGACATGCCCTGTCCTTCAAAGAGTTTGTTTCATAAGCCTAGAATTTGTACCTGCTGAAAGAGCACCCATCCATACAAAGCATCATGCATTTTCTGAGTTATGCCTAGTGTAGCCCAAGTCAACTTGATAAGCTTTAAATATTCAGCATGTTCCTGTTACAAGATCAAATGATGAATATCAAGAATCAAACCAATTGAAGCAGCATTAGCAACGGCAATAAATCTAACTACTGTGATTGACACTCGACTTAATGACAATGGCACAAGTGTACACCTCGATGAGTTGGCCTTCATCCAGAATGTCAAATACTCCAAACAGCAACTTCTCATAGAGTCTTATATTTAAGTGATAACCAGCATTCCAGTAAGATGATCCACCTTGAATACTAGAACTCCCCTGCATAGATGAGAGCAACGATGCAACCTGTCTGATAGCTAGTAGGACTTCCGAACGTTCAGCAGGAGTCATGATGATGTTCCATTCCTACATTTGCCAAACAACTAGTCCCAATGAACACTGAACTCAGACATGTTCATGTATGCCAAGTAAGAGATGAACATACCTCTGGATTCCTGATCTTGTCAAGTAAAATGCCAAGTTCTTGCATTTCAGGATAACTGACCGATGAGAAAAGTTCTTCCAGAACATTTGCCTGTATGGAAATATTTTCGAAGTTATAGCAACAATAAATCATTAATCGGATCAGCAATCACTCGGTGTCAATTTAATTTATTGTCCTGAAAGCTAATTAGCCCAAATAACGAATATGATCCATAATGACAATCCAAAGAATGAGTATTTAAAATTTGTGTTTTGGAACTAGATAAGTTAAATCATTGGAACTACAGGCAAATATGAACACCATCAAACGACTTGCACCTCCAGCATACACAAGTAAAATCAAACACTTACACATCATATGGCTAGTTTCAAAATTGACTAGAAAAGTCAGACCTAACCCATCAGAAAACCAAATTGTTATAGGCCCCAGCTTTAGTATTTGAGACAAGCACAAACTTATAAGTCAATGTTAAGAATCTGAGTGAAACGTCCTATGATCTGTAGGCATCTTTTCACTAAAAAGTACGGTAACACTTGTGTTGGTGGGTATAAATGCACTCACTAAATTGATTTCAACAATGAAAAATCTAATGTAGCTTTAAATCAGGCAAAGCCATGGTAATAGCATAGCATGAAATGTCTACTAGTGTCCACATGTGTTCTATGCAACAGCACAAGGCTCGCCGTATCCAATAACAATAGAACATAACAAGACATTGGTCGTACCTGGCGTTTCCTCCATTGTGTGTAAGACCTTTCAACCAGAAAATCATTCTGTTGTATGCCACTTAAGAGCTCAATTGAGATTTGAGGAATATCAACCTGTACATGTAATTTCCTCATAGAAAACTGCATCAACCTTTGCCTAATGCATTCATCCATTGCTTCTGATATCTAGAAAAAGGACATCCATTATTCCAATAACATCAACATTGACCAACTACACCAGCAGAACAGTGTGCAAAACATGTGCAAGCTGTTATTTAACTTGTGTTCAATTGTTGGTAGAAAAATATTAGCAAACTGAGTAGTACCTTTATACCAATCAATAGATCATCAAGGCTAGAGTGGATTAGCAAAGGTATGTTTAAATCATAAAGTAACCCATATTGAATTTCTGACATGTTTTAGAGGTTAAACTGATGCACAAACATTGTTCCAAAATGGGCTAGATTATTCTCTCTTATCTCAATTTTTTTCTTCTTCTTATGATGAAGAATCGAGAAATTGCTCACCTGCATTTGAACGCGAATGGTGTCAATGTGCTCGAAATGGTTTTCAACAGAGTGGGACCTGTGGTGTCTTCTATCCCTTCTACTTTTTAACCCAGTCAGAAATCTAGAGCCCTTATCTTTCTTCGGGTTCTCCAAAGAATGAATTGCAATCCTAGTGTTTGATATAAACAAAACAGATAAGAAATGAACAGGGTAAAACTCAGATATTCACACCATATCATGAGGTGAATAAGCATAGAAGATTAGAAACAGCCAATAGCATTTTTAACACACAAAAAATTAACTAAAGATGGGATATTTACACATATGTGTGTGTGTGTAGAGAGAGAGAGAGAGAGAGAGATTACCCAGAAAAAGCAATGCATGAAAGCAGTACTTCATAGGCTGATTCCCGTAAGTCATCATCCGATAACCCTTAAAAGTTACTACAACTATGTATCAGTCACTTAAATAATGGATAGGAAGCTATTTAACAAACAGAACTAACAGGAAGGAATTGAAAAACAACAAAATCATAGACCACCAAAAAGTGAAACAATCACAGTAGGTTCCATCACAGCATCTAGTTATAAGATTGAAGAGGTTACCAAACAAATACCTGTTCTTAAAGCAGGGAGTCCTAGAGAAGGTATGTCCGTCTTCTTTGCAAAATTTGAACTTGAAGGTACGGTATATGAATGATTTACCCCACAATCATACCCAGTAATAGTTGCTTCCAAACCAGTGAAGGAATCTGGGGGGGTAGACATATGCGGTCTATCACGGTGAGCACGGTTGGTCTCAACTGAGGGTGGTACACGTCGAGGTGGAGATCCAGCAGAGTCTGGTGCAGACAGAAGAAAAAATGAATCCCCTGATTGGGAGTGTATCTGTGGAATAGCCCAAATAAAATATCACAAAGTTGGTCAGCTTTGAGAACAACAATGCAGCTTTTTAAGAAGAAAATAATAATGACTGTCATATTCATAAGAAAAACCGGTAAATTAGTTGTTTCTATGCCTAGTTTTCCAGCACACCCTAACCACTAGATGTTGAAAAGAAAATGTCCGTCTAAAGGAAAATATATAACAAAAAGAAAGTTTGCAAACTGCTTCACCAGTTGTCAAGGACTTCAAGTAATTAATAGAAAAAAAATTGTTGTGCGGAAAATAGGTTGCCAAATACAAGTCAACAGAGAATATAAATGACCATTGATCTACTAAGCAAAAGATAGCCCTTCCAAGAGTCCACTATATCTGCAAATGGCAAAGATGATGATCCTAAATGAATGATTGTCCAAAAAGTTCTCTTAAATTCTTTCAGTACGCAGATCTATCCTCTACCGGAAAGAGTAGAGCGGATGTTTTCATGAAGACCCGGCTGCGACTAGCTTGGAAAAACGACGATTTTTGGAAGAAAAACTGAGACTAGTAAACAGTAAGCAACATAAAAGATAGAAAACTTCCAATATCAGTGGTTCTGTAATTAGCTCTTACCCAGCATCCATCAAGTCCACAACAAAATAAAACCCTACATAACAATATAGATTCCATAATATGTGCAATAAAGTTCAATATAAGCACATATGCACAAATTTATTCCGCAATATGCTACAAGGCGAACAACAGCTGCAGAAGCAGCTGCAACAGAACTAGTAAGTTAAAACAGAGATTGACAAAGAGGTGAGGCAATAAAGCTCTGGCCTTTTTTGCAAAATTCCAAAGAGACAAAATGCATAACATCTGGAACGGTTTATAATGATATTAATAACACCCTGCCAATCAAGAAATCCTTGGTCCTATCTAGTTTGATGAAACACCAGAAACAACATGTTAAAGCCTTACCATTGTCGGAAACATAGATTCATCAGTGTGCTTCATAGTTGCTTTAGAAATGTCAAACGCTCCACCTAATCGCACGAAGATGTCAGGAAATACCAGGAAGTTCAGGCAAAGTTATACTCGTAAGCATAGTCAATTGTTTCCAGACGTATGAAGCTATAAATTCAGTATTGGTGGTGTGATATTAGACATGACAGTTAAAAAGTAACTGTTTCTATGCAACTAAATAGTCCAAACACTCCCAACAGTATGGATGTGACTTTTCTGAAAGGCTAAAAACATATATCAAAATTTTGGGACGGTGTATAATCATTTTTCTAAAAATAATAAAAAGTAGGAGGTCAAATAAACAAAAGAAAAGAAATATGAAAAACATGAAGATTAACACAAAATTGGTTTTAGAATTCATCACTATAAGAACTTTTTTTCTTTCTTTCCTTACACTATAATATACCCACATTTTCTGAGAGACAGGTCAGGCTTACTTATTTGACAGTTAAATGTGAGTATTTGTGGAGTATTATATTCAATCATGGGTGGAATGAAAGGACTACTCTAAAGAGTAAAACAATTGACCTCTACACGTTTGACCAAACCCTAACCAGATACCAGAAACAATACTCTCAACAAGTACGTCTCTCCTCCCTTCATTAGCATTTATGTTAGACATAAATCACATTATAATCCAATTTATTTCATTAGTCATCAGTAGCCAATGACTACTACCCATTAAAATTTCAATTTCTTAATTATACAGTGTCAGTGTATCACCCCCTCGGCTCCAAAGACAGATACGCTTTTAGACTTCAATCATCAACCATGCTTACTTTCAACTTCAAATTTGATATTAATAAACATGCTAACCAGTAACCACAGTAAACTTTACACCCGACCGAAGTACTAGAAATCATAAACTCGATGCTAAATTTGAAACAAAAACAACCAAGCTCCAGTTGAACTTATGAAGCTATCTACGTTAAAACTCAAAACCATTGACTCATACAATTGCTTTTACCTTGTGTTTAGCTTACAAAATTAGATTACTCGATCACTAAAAACATGCTTAAAAATGAAATAAACTAACGAGGTAACTTACCGCCGGATTGTATGCATTCGAGGACATAATCAGCGCTGATAGCATCAAAATCGAAATCGGAAGCAGAAGAAGTTGGAACATCTGAGATCAAACCTGATGAGAGTATGAAATCGAGGAGGTTCCGGCGATCGTGACGGTAGCGCTGCAGCAGAGAAGAGTCCATTAAAGTAATTTGGGATTCTCCGCTCTCATGTTCGGAGTGTACAACCAAACGATGCGCAAAAGAGAAAAGATGATTTTTGGAGAGGCGCGAAGATACCAGACGGCGTAAGGCCGGATTCCTTGACCTTTTGCACGCTTTTCGCTTTCCCTTTTTACCCCCCTCTTTGAACGGTCAGCCTACAGGTACCATCAATAATTAATTACTCAAAATATCTTTTTAATAAGGGTAGTGTCTATTTATACCCCTGTAATTTTAATTTTAAAATATAATATATTTTTTTATTAAATGAGTACCCAATATGTTCCCCAAATCCATCAAGGATTAGTCGAGACAGGGCGAGGATTGGAGATGTATTATCTGTTCAATATCCACCACGTTTCCATCCTTGTATCTGAGTGACTTAGAGAGTAAGAACTAGGTGTATGTGAGTTAAATGTATGATAGTAACTCATTTAATAATAATAATGGAAATTGACCAAAATAGTCAATCTTTCCAACCAAATTCACTTTTTATTCATTTTTTCAATCAAATTCTCATTTTAGTTGGAGTTTATGTAAAAGAATAACGCATTTGGGTAAACCTGTTTTCAAATTTAAAAGAACTTTACGTAGATTTGCGTAAAAAATTGTGTAAGGATCCCATTTGAGTAAAGAATTTGCATAAAGATCGTCATTTCCGTAAAGAAATTTTTTTCCTTTAATCTGAAAGGACTTTACGCAGATACGTAAAATATTAACTTTGGCTAAAATGAAAACTTCAATGTCAAAAATGACTAAAAAGTGAATTTGGTTATGATTAGTTTATTTTGGTCAAGTTACGTTATAAATGGTGTGAGGATATGAAACTTTCATTCTAACTTTCTCATAATATTTATATTTTTTGAATTTTGAAAGATAAAATAAAAAAGAAAGGGAGTAAAAGAAAATATAAAAAAGGTAACAAAATATTTATATTTGTGTTATATAGAACAAAAGGAAAAGAATGAAATAGAAAGAGATATAATAATTTTTTATTTTTTTAGAGGACGATAAATGAAAGAAAGAATATAATTGATGGGTAGATCTGTAATTTAAATATTTTTTTTTAATAATGTTAGTCTTATTATTTGACCTGGCCTTATATGTCTCTAATAAACAACGATGATGAATAATTTAAATTCATTTAAAAATAAATAAAATTATTGATATATATATATATATATATATGTGTACGCACGTATCTAATAAAAAATTTAAACCTTAAAGTTAGTTTTGTTTAAAGTAAAAAAATTGTGTATATTAACGGCGTCATATCTTAAACATACACCATGAGAATTAATGAAACATAAGAAAAAGTGTTTTGTCGTTTAAGTGCCACCACAACGCATTTTTTAGAAACTCGTTTAATTCACAAATATTTAAGAAAAAATCATTAAAAAAAGTACGGTATTACCTTTGCAAACAAAATATAATGTTATGTCAAATAGTTTATAATTTGTGTCATGACGAGATTGTGACTAACGTACAAAATGCATGATTTTATCGTCCCAATTATCACGTTTAAAATAAACAGATATAAAATATTGAGTTTTGTCAAGTAAGAGATAAGAGAGCTTAAAATGAAGTCATTTCATGGTTTAAAAAAATTAATATAATTATGTAATAAGTATTTGGAAATCGGATGTATTGAAACTTTTTTTTTACTACGGTCACGTTATCGTTGATATTATAATGTATCTTCAAGCTTATAATTATTGGGTTGTAGACATAAAGTTCGATAGATACAAACCGCATAAACTACACCACATCTCAAGGTTTTTTTGCGGTTTTGTACCTACCGAACTTTACGTTTACAATCCAGTAATTATACATGTGGTGCAATTTTTTGCGGTTGGAGGGTTATGCGCAAACTGCACTGCGAATATCCCTAATTAATATTATGTGGCGGGTGCCTTAGATGCACCTCTATATGTCATTAAATGCATCATACATGCTAATTTTCATCTCATGTATGACAAAACTCACTTTTTATATTTTCAATATATGATTTTATCTCATTTTAATATACAAATGAATACATATATCTAGGGGTGCTCACGGCCCGGGTTGATCGGTTTGGAGCCGTTTTAGTAACCCAACCCAATGTTGGCGGTTTGAAAATTTTCAACCCAACCCAACCCAAACAAAAGTTCAACCCAACCCAACCCAACCCGTTCGGGTTGGTCGGGTTGATCGGGTTGTGTTTAAACAATGTAAAATCACATAAAAATAAAGGAAACTTTCCTTTGAAATACGACCGACTATTCAAGATAATATGCAAGTTCATCAAATATTTAGATATTACAATAAAAATATTCAAACCAAATGATAATACATCAATCAACAACAATAGTTTTAGACGTTTCCAACCCCGATGCTTTCGCTTTCTTGACGTTGAGGTTGGTCATGTAATGATTGTCATCTATAATTCAAAGCTAAAGTTAAGGTCGGGTTCATCGGGTTGGTCGGGTTTTTTTGGGCCTGACCCGATGTCAACCCAATAAGGTCGGGTTGGCTAATTTTTTTATCGATCATGCATCGGGTTACCTCGGGTTGGGTGTTTTTTTTAAAATTCGGGTTGGGTTGGTCGGGTTCATCGGGTTTTTGAGCACCCCTACATATATCATTACTTGTACGTATATATATATGTTTTTTTTTAGTAAAACGTAAAAATTATCAAAGAGAACAAAGTAAATACATTTTTCAAAAAAAAATAAAAATTATTAACCTGGATATCCAACCCGTTATGTGAGCTGACTAATCCCAGTGCGAGTACCTGCTTTGTAGATAGCCCGGAGTAATCGCATTTGAACTTTCGTGGCCACAAGGGGATCTGTGTTCCTCATTTGATTTGAACCTAGGACTTCCATCTTGCTTTATGTTATTTTCATGTTGTAACGGTATCGTCGTTAACGTTGTCACATTTACCATGACCATAATAGAAATTTGGAAACTATTAAATAAGATTTTGTTTTGTGTGAAGATACTATTACAAAATTAGGTTTATAGAATGCCGAAAATTGAGTGTTTTATAAGATTTAATTTATAATATCAAAAAAATAAAGTGTTTCATCTAAATATACTCCATTATATTAAAGACTTTTCAATATAAATGATGGACAAAATCATTCACATAAAAATGGCGGAATTACTTAAAAGATTCTCTGATACTAAGATAATTACTATTTATTGTCAGCATGTTCATAATCAACAAGAAAAGATGGATCATGAGCGATATCACTATAGTTTTGGTCAACCTCATATCTATTTAAGGCTATGTTTAACAAACTAACTGATAAGTTAGTTAGTACTTATAGGTTAGTAGATAAACAAATCATGTTTGACAAAAACTAGTTGATAAGAATGTAAAATGATCAAGAATGACATATTGATAAATTAATCATTTGTGATATTTCAAAATATAATTGAAATAATCTCTAATAATACAATATATCAACTAATACAAATAAGATGGTAAAAAAATTAAAAATTATAATATACAATATTTATATTATAAATAAAATTTTGAACTAAACAATTACATAAAAAAAAAAGATAAATTACATGAAAAATTAACGTA